TTCATCTTCGGAACACAAATTACTTTTGATGAAATCCAAGAGCTTTCTGTCCCTCGATTAAAATAGTCCATGTGACTCCAGTGGTTTAAACTTAATGTTATGAAGTGACAAGAATACTTTTTGTATGCAAAAAAAAACAACTTTATTTAACAATCTCTTCTCTTCTGTGCGAGTCCCCTGCACAGTTCACGTTGAAAACACAGTGCAGCGCTTCCAGGTTCTACGTCAGAACGCTGACTCACTATTGGCCGTCTGCGCCAGCAACTCAGCATCACACGCATGTGTCGTGGTGCTCATGTGACCAGCGTCGGCCAATGGTGTCACAGCGTTCTGATGTAGAACCTAGAAGTGCTGCACTGTTTACACTACATCAACAGCCTAGGAGAATGATGTGGAAGAGAAGAAACTGTTGCAATAAGGGGGATTTTTTTCGTGGGGGGTGGGGGGGCTTGCGCACAGCAAGTTATCTCGTCACTTCATAACATAAGGTTAAACCCCTGAAGTCACATGGACTATTTTAACAATGTCTTTACCACCTTTCTGGGCCTTTTTGCAATGGCGTTCCTGCCTATGAATGGTTCAGAAACCTCTTAGATTTCATGTTAATTTGTGTTCTGAAGATGAACAAAGTCTTACAGGTTTGGAACGACATGTGGGTGAGGAATTAATGACTGAAATTTCATTTTTAGGTGAACTAACCTTTTTATGTTATGAACAGCAGCTACACGAATTATTCTCCATTTGCATTTCTGTTTTATCTCAGGAGGCCCATCCTGATGCATTTTCTGTAGAGCTGCTTTGAAACGATAGGCCAATGTGTTGTTAACAGTGTACAAATAAATGTGAATTGAATGATGGTTAAAGTAAACGAGTAAACATGAAGATTTTTAAAATAAAATGTTCACACAGCTTTTCACTTGTATACAGGTTATATAGAGTATTACACAGCCATGTGGTGGGTAGTAATGACAGTTAATAATATACATGTCCTCCAGTGTAAATGTGGAAACCAAGAGCAAAGTTAGTTGTCCAAAGAGTCCAAAAGAGTCTTGGCCTACTCCGGGTCGTTGAACAGACGAATCTTCCCATTGTCCGGGCACCTGAGCCTGGCCAGATAAGCAAAGCCACGATACAGACCTCGAGATGCTAGAGCTTTGCCCACGGCCTGAACACACAACGTTTCTGCAACAAGCGTCGGCTGACAAATCCGAATAGAAATGAAGCTCTGAAACGTTATGAGTAATCCTCTTCTTCAGGGCTGCTTTCAGGATTGCATCTTTGTCAGTGAACTGTAGAAAACTAACAAAAATGCTGGATTCGGATTGTTAGATGCGAAAGTCTGGGATGAGCCCTCGTGTTATCCAGAGCAGGAAAGTCTGCACTGCAGGCAGATCTAACCACTTCAGAATCAGGTCTCAAAGGTTTGTAGAGAGTGAGCTTGGAAGTCCCAGTATCTTAAGATTATTACACTGACCTCTGTTTTCAAGATCGTCCTTTGACTGCAGCTGGTGCAACATTACCTTCAAGTTGGCCAGCTGTCCATCAGTCGATGCAGTCGAGTCCGACGCGATCCTCCGTTCTTCTTGTTTAACCTCTTACGTATGAGTCATGCCAAAAATAGCTAGGCTAAATCTTTGTCAGAACGTGTTTCTGACACAGTTATAAGTCTGTTTAGCAGCAAAAAAGAATTTGAGGGAAAAAAACTATTGGAAGTTTGAGTGAAGCAAAGAATTCAAGCAGCCATCTCCAGCTGGGTCACGTGACACAACCCGTTCTCGAAAGTCTTATGAAATTGCACATACAAACAAGCCACTAGACAGGCGACTAATTACATGGAAAATAGAGAAACCGCACAGCATAAACGTATATAATGCCATCTATATTTTAAAGTTAGTTTACTTTTGATTGTTTTTATTTTCAAATTATTTATTAGCGGTGAAACGAAATTCAAAACGAACCGAAAAACCGAGATACACCACCCATGATATGGACCTGTCTTATGTATACACAACGAATACATATAATAATGATTATATAATAATCGCAATAAGCTCAGTGTTTTATTACTTTTGATAATAAACAAGTTGCAATCTTTCAAATCCTGTCTATTTGACTTCGAAATTCAAACAATAAATGCCGTTTTGGCGCTCTTTGATGTGGCAATGAATATTAGGCTCCTCATTTCAAGCGGCAGCGCGGAGCACGAGTGAACGTCTGTTGAGTGATCATCTCTTCCTCATTTAAATAATAAACATGAATGGACACCTGGCTGGAGCTAGGCTATGTTGAAAGATACAGTATACTTACCGAAACGTGTCATAAGTCATAATCAATCAGTGTTTCAACAGTGGAGGGCTGGGCGATATGGCCCCAAAAAAAATTATCATGATATTTTTTTTATATCAGTCGAAATTGATTATTATCACGATAAATGTCAAATCTTTATTTCTTTCAAGTTTAAAGGCAGATTTTTGCTCCTAAGTGAAAGTTGTGGAAACCAGACTAATTGTGGTTTTAAACTACTCTTTATTGTCAGAACATATCATGACAAACACTTGCCAAACAGGTGAACATTTCACAAATCTGAGGTAGAACATTCAAACATTTGTCATTTTTCCTTAACAAAATAAATACCTTAATATAAAATTGTATTTCTTAGTTTCTGCATGTGCTAATGGGAGATATTGTTTTAAGTCTTGAAACAGGTTTTGTTGCCTGACTTTGATGGCACGTATCTTCAGCACAGTTTGCAGTGCAGGCTGCAATTTTAATATTACATGTTTTGTCTCGAAACGCATATTTGACAGTGAGTTGACAGTAGTATTATGTTAAATTTATGTTCATTAGCAAAAACGGTAACATCTGTTAACAAAAATGAATTACCTCAATTTTATTTGGTAAAATGTAATATTCTGACTGTTTGAATTTTATTCAAATTAACCATTGGTCATCCAGTATCATGCATTTAGATCATGATAACCACAGATGAAGCCAGGCATAGCCTGTAGCACCTATCATGGCAAAATGTACTTTATGGTTTCTATGGTATCAAAACAGTAACGTTAGCCTATATACATTGTTAATTAGGCTAAATACTGTAATTCTATTCCATTAGTCCTTTAATACATTGTCTACATTAATATTCTAATACAATTCAATATGTATATCCCACATGTCATGGTGCTACTATAGGCTAACATTACAGTAAATCCATGGTAAATGGATTCATCAATTCAGATTCTGACTGTATCGTTGCGTACAGTGTTTCTCCTGTTTGTCAGCGCTGTTTCATCTGCCTTTAAACTGGTTTAATCACAGAGACGTTTGTGTTCTTCGCTGAATCCAAGCGCTTCTCACTGGATCTCGTGAGGGAGACCGATCAGAGTAAACGCCTCTGCTCTACTAGTGAACTCGCGCTGCGCGGCCGTTTGGACTTTGAGCCGAGCGGATAAACAGTCCGTGTGGCGTGCGGTTCAAATTAGTTTCGTTCCGCTTTTGGCGAATAAACATTATCGAACATTGAACTCTTGTTATCGTTTTATCGAGAAAAAAAATTATATCGCGATAATTATCGTTATAGTTTTATCGCCCAGCCCTAAGACGTGATATTTTTGTCTGGATCGCTATAGCCTCCAGGTTTACTTTCTTTGTTTCCAAACGCAACGAGTTCAGTTTTGTCTTTTGTTTAGATGAAGAAAGTTTTGGCACATCCATTTGTTATCTTTGCACGGGGTATTTGCACAGGGAGTCTGCACAATGGAGCTGTAGTGTTAGGTGATAGATCTAATCTGGTGTCATCTGCATGTACACCTTAAAAATGCTGGGTTTCAACTCATGTTTGAGTCAAATATGGACAAAATCCAACCATTGGATTACATTTAAAAATATATACATTTATTTATTACATTATGCATTTTTTTTTAATTGTTTACTTTTTGTCATGTGACTTCTGGGCTTTTTGTCTGTTTTGGTCTTGTTTAACATTTTTGTGGTTCCTGCTGGTGACTATGGCTCAGGGGCGTAATTTTTTGGGGGGTTGGGGGGGAGATAACCCCCCCAATATTTCTACCATGATCACATGAAAAATACGCAGAACAATTTTTTTTAACTATATTAAACATTACAACCCCCCCAATGTTCAAACCAAATCTACGCCCTTGCTATGGCTACTTTATTTTTACTTTATTTTAACACTACTGCTTATTCTGTTTGTATTGTTAGTCATATATTTGTAATTTTTTCACTCCAGAATATGCACTTCTTCAGAATATTCACTCAGATCATCTGTGGTGTTTGATGTGTATACTGTATTGTTGCTTATTTTTGTCTTGTTTTTTTTATGTATTTGTTTATTGATTGTTACACTCTTTGAGCGCTATATAAAATAAACATATTATTAGTATTATTATTATTTAACTACAGTTTTAAACCAACAGTTGGGTTTGTCCATATTTGACCCAAACATGAGTTGAAACAACTCTAATTTTTTTAGATTGTGTGATAAGCAATTTGGTTCTTTCTTATTATTTGGCTCAGTGGGAGCGTATACAGGTTGAACACGGGTGGTGCAAGAATTGTATCATGGATGTCCACTCAGACTTATGATCAACGTCAACTTTGTTCACATAACCCCTTCTTTCTAACTATGACCTGGGCCATGACATCAGTCTTTCTTCTGTAAGAAAACAATAAATCACAGGGTTAAGAGTGAGAGATGAGCAGTGAAATCAACACATCTGTCATCAGTAAGTTAATAAGATTCAGATTAAAAGTAATTTTTGATTAATGATGATGACTTAGCTAAAAATTCTATTCAGTCAGTGGAATTATAAATATACAGTTAATATACAGATACAGTCTCAGTTGTTCTGTCTCTTCATGTAATCACAGACTAACTGGATGATGTTTTCAATTTTTGACAAGGTTGTAACATGCCTAAGACATTGGCAACATACTGTATTTTTATGAAAATGTTAAACTGCAGTAGTGCAGTATCTTACCTCATACTTAGACTTTCAACAGATGCTCAAGCTTGTTTTTCTCCGCTTTTGCTGCAAGAAGAAATCACACACACAATTAAATGCTAATTTTGGATAATAATTATGTTGTTTTCCTCTTACTATAGTGTCTGTATGTGGTACTTGCCATTTATGGACCTCCTGTGGCGATAGTAAATCACACCAACAGTTACAGACATCAGAACAGCAACAGCACATATTACTGCTACAGTAACTGGCATCAGAACTGAACCTGGAACAGATAAACACAGACAGTCGTTAGTGGGAATGAATCTGATATAGTAATTAGATATCAAGTCATGTGAAAAAAATAAATTAAACCCTCGTTAAACTCCTTGGTTTTACATATCGGGACAAAAAATCGTCTGGACAAAATGGAGAAGCCATGTGTGAAAAACTAAGTATATCCTTACGGTTAACATAAGAATGAAGAGGGTTAGTGGCAGTCTTAGCGCTGCTAATCAAATATCTTTGACCTTCAGCAAGTGTGATCCTCTAGCAGAAGTTCTCTCAGTTTGCTGGCCTGGAGCCTTCAGGTGTGTGTTAACAATGCAAAGCAGGAAAGACATCAGCAATGATCATAGGCTGCTTTCACACTGCGAGCCTTAGTGCTGATGGTCATGGTCCTGAACTGACTCGCATGCGCTAAAGAACGATAATAAGACATCACGCAACACGCTGTCATACGGAAACACAGAGGACATTAAAGTAAGCGATTATGCGTTTATGTATAGTGTGATCTGCTGCAGAAGCCAGATAATGTATGCGCAGGCAATATATAAAAAAAAAACAGAGGAGGATGTGAAAAAAAAAGAGAGCCAAATCTCTAAACATTTATGATGTTTTGCTTTATCACTGTAATAATTATGAGTTCTGAGTTCTGACACATCACTATCCTTCACTGACTACCTATCAAAACTGCCTTGATGACTTCAATGTAAAATATTTCAAGTGACTCAGAAATGTGACGAGTGTTGCTCTGTGACATTTGAAATGTGACTTAAAAGTCACATGAATTCCCATATGACTGTTCAAACTGAGGTCGCATAGCGAAACATCTGACCTGCATCTGATTTAGATCACATATGGAAGTGGCCCAAATGGCAAATGAAAAGATCAGATTCCATGTGATTTGTGGTGTTCACACTGTCTTAAAAAAAACAGATCTGAGTCACATGAGCAAAAAAAAAAACACACTTTGATTTGGGATTTTGGGCCACATTTACCTGCAGTCTGATTGTAGCCATAGAGAAATCATTTTTGCTGCCATTAATCTATGAAGATTTGCAAGACCATTACCAAAACACCCAAGAGCTACACCTCAGACCCTACTGGCCTTAGTTAGCATGTGAAATGATACCCTGGGAAAACCCAGACAACTTCCTGCAAATTTAGATTTGCTCTGCAAGTTAGTCTGGCAAAGAGCTCATTCAAGCCCATTTCTAATCCATCGAAATCGCGGCACCAATCAGAAACGTTGGGGCGGGCTTTACACGATGGCGACAGCACAGCGACGTTGAAGCAGATTCTGTACATTTACTTTTTACAAAGATGGATGCCGCCGTGGAACTAGGGGTGTGACGTTTATAGTTGAACACCGTCATTAGAACTCTATAACCGCCAAAACCTAGTTATTAAAATATTTTTTTCACAATTTTTTTTATCATAGAGAATGTTTAAATACTAATATCAGCTTACGAGGGAAACGGAGGCGGAGTTTGTGGTGCTTCGGAGGCTGCTACTGCTGGAGATGATTCGGGAGAGGTCTGTGCACCCCCTCACAAGAAGAGAAATCTTGGAGATCTGTTTAATAAACGAAGGTCTGAAATCTCTACCCCTTTACCGATAAGAGCGCGCGCTGACACTTGAGTAAAGCCTTGTTTATACTCGACGCGTCCGCACGAGCGCGAAGGTGCGCTCGGCAAAAATGCCGCGTTCGGTGCGCAAGACCGGCAAGACCCCATTTGGCTTGGCTGTGTGCACGGCTTTTTTTGTAACAGCGCGCGCGGCGCCGCGTCCGAGGATGAACGACTTCAAGCCGAATCTGCCCGAGCGTGTACGTCTCACCGCACCGGCACGCAGTTTGCGCGTCTAAATTGCAAAGTTCCTTGCAAAGTTTTTTTTGTTAAGGTTTTGTTTACTGTGTGTGATCTATTTAATGGAAAGCACATTCACTTCTAGTCGTCTTGCCGTTAATTTTAAATAAACGTAGAGCAAGTAGCTAATCAGTGTCTGCTCGTTTATTCAAACTAAGTTGTTCTCCTTCATCGCTCTGATTGGTTTTAGGTCTATCCAATTGCGCCCAGAGGCATTTGAGCTACGTCCGTTGGTGACGCCCCTTTGGAAATGATTTGTCTATGAAGCTTTGCCAAACCATAACTCAGTTACAACTGAAAATGTTCTGCTTTTAACCAGGCTAGTGAAATGATGAAGGTCATGGCAGTACAATTAGAAAAAGGCAGGACAAGTATGGCATGTTTGGAACAGTTGCCAGGAGAAAGAACACAGCAGCACGGCTTAGGTTTGCAAAAAAAACCCACAAGACTTCTGGAACAATGTCCTTTAGACAGACGAGACAGAAGACCAAACACAGCCTTTCAGCACAAACACACACACTGTTTCACATGACTGTAAAAAAGAAAGGGAGAAGAAACATACTCCTGTCAGACTCCCGCTCCTTCTCAGTCTCGTCCAATTCTTCATCGATTTTGTCAGGAACAGACAGAGAAGCTGGAAAATACAAGTGAATAAAATAAATAAAAAAGTTTGATATATAGGCAGTCAGATATAATCAGTTATAATATTTTTAATATCATCATAATGTTGAATTATTCACAAGGTATGTCTACTGAAAAGGACTGAACAGTGTCAGTGTAATCTTGCCAAAACAGACATGATGCAGGAAATCTGTTCTGAAACAGGTTTTAAGGAAAGAGGATAAACTGGTCTGAATGTGACGGTTTAGACATTCAAACAATCACAGATATCAAAAGTGCTGCAGGGAAAATGATTGAGTGACTCACGGCTGATAGAAACGATGAATGTTTTTATGGTGTCGCCGATGTTGCTCATTTTTCTGGTGATTTTTGTGCTGTCACACTTGCTGTTTCTGTTCAAGCTTTGGCTGGTTCCTGAGCTTTTGCTTTGGATGAAATTTGCTTCATAACGTCCAGCGTGTTCAGATCTGATGTCTCTGATGGTCAGTGATCCGGTCTCATAGTCCACCTTTACTCTGTCTCTGAATCTCCCGTCTTCTCCATCATACAGACAGCTAGTACTGGGATCTCCGTTGATCAGAGCTATGAGAGTGTCGTTGAAATACCACAGCATCTTGTCACGTTGTTGTTTGGTAACACCAGTGTTTAGAGTGACTGGTCTTCCCTCCATCACTGATAGCAACGTCAAACCAGAGGAGTCACCAACCACACCTGGAGAGAAAAATTAACAATAATTACCTTTGTGCGTGTGTGTGTGTGTGTGTGTGCATTTGACAAAGAATTCAACAACACAGAAATGTGTTTGATTACAAGAAACCCAATGACAGAAGATCATAAAGATCTCTGTGGTAAAGAAATGTAGATTTTTACAGCCTCATTTTACATGTAAACATTAAAATACTTCATACAGAACTATTACTATTACAGAAGAGGATTAGGGCCAAGCAATAATAAAAAAAATAAAAAAAAAACCATCTTGAGATTTAAGTCATTATAATGCGAATTTAAAAAAAATAAACTCTTAATAAAATGAGATACTCATTATACTTTGAGAATAAACTTGTGTTTTAAGAAAAAAATCATTAAATTTCTAGAAAAGGTAGCAATATAATGTTAATAAAACTAAATCATTTTAAGAATTACATTTTACGTCGAGTTTTTTTCTCAAAACAACGGCTTTATTCTCGAAATTTTATGATTTTTTTCTCAACATAATATTTCAAGTTTTTTTCCTCGAAACGTAACAAGTTTTTTCTCGAAACATGACTTTATTCTCGAAATTTAATTTGTTTTTTCCCAACGTGCATTTCAACTTTTTTTTCTAGAAATTTAATGAGTTTAATTTTCACATTTATAATTTAATCTCGAGATGGTTTTATTCTTATAATTATAATGACTAATATAATGAGAATAATTAATTATAATTATAGTGAATTATATTGACTATAATCTCTATAATACTATATATTTTTTTTTATTATTATTGCTTGACCATAATCCTCTTCTGTAGCTGTTAAATATGAAGTTGGGGCAAACATGTGCATAGCCTAGTAGTCAACTTATAACGATTAAAAAGTAAGATACCAATGCCTTTTTGACCAGTCATGATTCTAGGTGAATATATTGGAGTTGTTATTCCTGCTGATAAATCCTAAACCAGCCTGAGCTTGTTTCCGGGTTTTAGGCCTAGACTGTGCAGCCAGCTGGTCTGTTTGCTTTAAAAGGAGATTGAGCGCTTAAGTTTGGTTATTCAGGGAGACCAGCTGTAGTCTAAACCAGTGAAGACCATTTATTAGTGGTGTTACATATGAAACAGAGGCTCAAGGTCATCTGTAGGCTATATTAAGAAAAGTACCGAGGCTTGTATCGTTTCTCAGAAAATCACGTGATCAACCGCAAACTATTAATTTCGGTTTTTTTGGTTCAATCACTTACGGACACAGAACAAGAAAGGGTCGGGAGAGATAGGAAGTAATTAATTTATATCATAGGCTACATTAAAATCATTAAATGTGTAAAATTGGCTTATGACTTGCTGGCAGAACTGGTCAAACGGGTTAAGAGACAGAACAAAGGAGTGCTGACTGATTCTGTCATGGAAACTCGCCAAAAACAGCAACAACAAACAAAAAAACCTTAAGCATTGCGCGAACTTAAACTGAAACGGACTGAATTAGAAAGCAAATCATGGAGTGACATTGTCCTGTGCATGTGTGTGATGCATTTACACCTGCAGTCGGAAGAGACATTTATCCAAAGCAATTTACATCACATAGGCCTAGCCTACAGCCTTTCAACTCGTGCATTTTCTACATGCATTTGCTATGTCAATGCATTGCCTATCAAAAATAAAATAAAAAGTCAAGCGACTTACCATCAACAAAAAACACAAACAGAGTGAGCACACGATAACTTCCCATTTTCAGAATTTTTATTTTATTTTTGTTTTTGTAAATCAATTTAATCGAATCTTGAATTTTGCAGCATCGCCGTTTCCCTGCAGCTGTACCAGTCACTGTTGATAGAGGACAGGACAGGGAGCAGTAGATCACTAGAGGTTGCGAAGTTCCTTTGTTAAGAAAGCGACAACGGTGTGCCTTTATTTCTGTAGGCGGGGTTGTATTTGTACAACGTTCCTTCCTTATCCAGGTTGTATGGTTTCTGAGGAAATCACGTAATGGGAGGCAAGCTAAGTTTCGTTTCCTATTAAATTGCTTAGGTTACGAAATATGATACTATAGGAATATGCCCTCTAGGTGTTGACTTTGAAAGTTTTCAAAGCAGTAGCCTATGTTATGATTAATTTATCAGTAAAAAAAAATCTATTTTATAGTTTATATATTTTTTTTCCGTGCGTGCGTGCGTGCGTGCGTGTGTGTGTGTGTGTATGATTATTACATAAACGTATTTAGCCTACTTATGTAAGAAGAAAATACCTTTTGTTCAAGAAACTTTCTCAGTTGATGAAACATGCATTAGGAACCAGCAGATGGCGCTGTTCCCAATACAAGACTTCATTCAGTGTTGTTGTGTATTTAAAGTGAAGAATAAGACGACACAGACACGCGTGTACCGACAGTCTCCTTTGTTTTACTGAACTGAACTCAACATGACCTCACCCAGGTACGGGTAGCATATACAACATACATGACATCCCCCTTCTTAAGTTTAGAACTATTCAGTAACCATTATTACATATCTGAATTAAACAGTTATACAACCAAAATATAATTTCTTTGTTTATGAGCAATCTTATGAACATTTGAGCTCATTCTTTTAACTGCACAAGTTATTCAAACAAAAACAAACTCAGGTTACTGCAGCGTATTTGTATAGTACAAACCACTGTTCAGTCCTTGTACCTTGAGGGTATTTTCACTTGTCTACCTGACCTGGTAATGTATTCATGTGGCTGAGACTCAGGCAATTCTGTGTTTTGTGTGTCCTTGTCAATTGTAGATGACTGAGTCATGATAAGTGTCATTGACTGTGTTTGTTGCTGTTGTTGTGAGACTTTTTTCTCCAGTCTTTAGAAGATGTTTTCTTTTTCTCCTGTATGTTTTCCCATCTGGAGTTTGTATGATGAGGGATCTTGGTTGCTCATGTCTTTTTATGATTACTGCAGGTTTCCAGACATCTCCTCGTTGCTCTCTCACTCTTTCTCCTATGTGGACATCTGGAAGCAGTCTCGTTTGTCTGTCAAAATAGGCTTTTTGCTTATCTTAGTTTCAGGTTGTCTTGGATCTGTATGTTGCTCTCGGGTGACAACAAGGTGACTGAGGTAGGTATTTTGGATTTCAACCGACGTCCCATTAGTAACTGTACTGGTGAGTACCCAATACCATCCAATGGCGTGTTTCTGTATTCCAACAGAGCAATGCAGGGGTCACTTTTGCCACTCTGAGCTTTCTTTAACACGCTTTTTATGGTTTGAACTGCTCGTTCAGCTTGTCCATTTGACTGTGCGTGTCCTGGGCTGGACGTCACATGTTCAAACTCCCACACTTTTGAAAAGTTACTGAACTCTGTGGTGGCATACTGTGGACCATTGTCCGAGACTACAATATCTGGTATACCATGCCTCGCGAACATCGATTTCATGGCCACGATTACACTCTGAGCTGTTGTGTCAGACAGTTTACTGATTTCTGGGAATTTAGAGTAGCAATCAACAGACAGTAAGTAATCTGAACCATTGTAATGGAATAGATCTGTGCCAATTTTTGACCAAGGTCTACCTGGTATTGGACGTGATATCAATGGTTCTCTTGGATTACTGTTCTTGTGTGTGTTGCACACTGGACATTGGGAGATAAACTCTTCAATCTGCGTTGACATGTTCGGCCAATACAGAACATCCCTGGCTCTTTCTTTGCATTTTACAACTCCAAGGTGTGATTCGTGAATTTTTCTTGTCATTTCTTGCATTTCTTGTCTCAGTTTGTTTGGAACTATGAGCTTTGCAGATTTAAAAAGAAGTCCTGATGTGAAGCTTATTTCTTCTTTGAATGTCCAATGCGCTTGAATCAGTTTCGGAACATCACTTCTTTCCTTGGGCCATCCATCCATGGTCATTTTGCACAGTAGTTGCATTTCTTGATCAGCAGCCGTTGAAGTGCGGAAAACACTTAGCTTTTCTTCAGACACAGGCAGATATGTTGTTACCCAGCAAAGCTCTAGCTCTTGACCAAGCAAGTCTTCTGTATGCTCATTTAGATATGCACGACTTAGTGCATCAACAATGTGCATTTCTTTACCTGGTTTGTAGGCTACCTTTAGGCTGTACCTCTGAAGTCTGAGAAGCATGTGCTTTAATCTGTATGGAGCTTGGTGTAGGGATTTCTTGAAAATACTTTCCAGTGGTTTGTGATCACTTTCAACTTGCACTTCCTTGCCGTAGATATATTGATGAAATTTCTCACATCCATAAACTATGGCAAGTAGCTCATTTTCAATTTGCGCGTAACGTTTTTGAGCATCCGTGAGTGCACGAGATCCATAAGCCACTGGTTTTTTACCTTGCAGAATGACTGCTCCGATGCCTTCTGAGCTGGCGTCAACTGAAAGTGTCACTGGCTTCTGTACATCAAAGAATTTCAGTGTTGGACATTTGTTCAGCAAGCTCTTCATTTTTGCGAAGCTTTCTCTTTGCTCTTCCTCCCAGTGCCACTGAACGTCATCTTCTAGCAGTTTTCGAAGAGGAGCACTGACATCAGATAAATTTGGAATGAATTTGGATAGGTATTGCACCATACCCATGAATCTCATGAGTGCTTGATTGTTTTCAGGAGGTGGCATTTGCACGATGGCTCTTCACACCTTCAAGACCTTCTAACATCTGCGCGACCACACGCTGGAAGACTTCACTGGCAGGAAGACACACCAAATGGTAAGCGAAGAAATCTGTACTATTGGCGTGTTGAACGTGCAGAGTTTCGAACTCTCATCATCCAGTTTTATTTGCCAGAAGCCTTGATATGCGTCTAGGACTGAGAATATCTTTGCTTTTGGCATGCTGGATACCTCTTCTTCCACTGTCAGTAGAGGGTAATGTTCACGTTTTATCGCTTTATTAAGGTCTTGTGGATCTATGCATATGCGTATCTTGTTTGGTTTCAACACTGTTACCATGCTGTTCACCCACTCAGTCGGTTCGGTTTGCTTTACAATTACTCATGCTTTCCATCTTGTGTAGCTCTTCAACTATCTTGTCCTTGAGTGCTACAGAAACCTTTCTTGGTGGATGAATCACTGGTGAGACATTGGGGTCTATTTTGATGTGATTCTCAATTGGTAAACACCCAAGGCCAGAAAACAGGTCGTCAAAGTTTTTCAAAGGGTCATCTTTGATCTTTACATATATTCTTCTCACCATTCCTAATTTTTCACAGGCTGTGCGTCCAAGAAGTGCAGGTACGTTCTACCATCGACCACTTGAAATTGAATATTATGCTTTTGTTTTCTGTAGGTGAAGGTAAGTTGAACTTGTCCCACAGGTGACATATTGTGGCCAGAATATGTGATTAGGTGACAGGTGGATTTTTGTAGTTTTCTTTGAGTTTCCAGTGACTTGAACACATTGTTGGGTATTACATTACATGCGTTAGACACAAGAGTCTTGAAAGGGGGGCGTTCAGGTGTTAATGGGGGGCGTTCTAGTTTAAATATATAACGCAAATTTGTGTTCATTTACTTTGATTCATTTTAAGCATTTAGTCATTTATTTGTAATAAACACTTTAAGTGGGCTATTTAAAAAGTGTTAGGACCATATATGTTAAATTATGTTGTAAAACATATGCGTAGATTGTGATGTCATAGCTATTGTGTGTGCTTGCGTGTCTATGGTGCGCGTGAAAGAAAACGTCAGCAGCGCTCAAATAAAAAAAAGAAAATCATTCTGCCGTTCTAGCCTACTCCTGACCGCAAGTCCACCGTCAGTATACTAGCAGGTTTTTTGTGTTCATTTCTATTGCATTACGATTGAAAGCAGTAATAATGTAAAAAATATAATGTGCAGTCAAGTTCGGATGTGAATGCAGTTTAAATGAGTGTTCTCACCGACACGCTTGTTGTGATTCTTATTCCAGTTTAATGCACATAGCCTAAGCTATGTATCGTTACTTTTGCAACGACTCTATTATTTTTCCAGTTATAGACCAGCGCTCTGACAACAATCCAGCGCTGGCTAGAATCACGCAGCGGAGTAATGGAAAGTTGACAAACCATTAAAAAGTATTGATTTAAGAAATACTTCTATTTTTTCAAATATTTTCAATAAATCATGTTCCCCTTTACTCCGGCGACGAATTTCAAAATTAAACTAAATTCTATTCATAAGGTAAAACTTTAAAATGTTTAGGTATTAGCTAGGCTAATTCCAATGCCTAATGCCAAAATGTTTTCTTTGTTCACCAAGTAATTTACTGGTCAGGCATTATTGTTAACTCAATTTTGAAAATGACAATTTGATGGATAATTTTTATATTATATTAATATTTAAATATATTCTGCAATCACATTTTGGTAATGTATAGGCTATTCATTCCGCCATCACATCTGAGCGCGAAACGCTGCTTGGGTAACTTTAGTTTCAAGATATAAAAACAATTAATAATACAATAATAATTGAATTGTTCACATATGTGTTTATTTTTGTTAGAAAATTTTTCTTTTTACTGATTATGAAAACAAATTAATCACAACAAACCAAATTAATTGTAATTGTATTAATTATACCTGATACCAAGGTAGGCCTATTTTAGGCCTACAATTCTAACATAATTTTTCATGAAAAATCATGATTGTATTAATTTATTTTTCGAAAGTAAGGTTAAGCAGCTTCTTGCAATAATCTCCTAAATGCTATTAAAACCTACATGCAAACATTACTGCTTTAATGACTGTCCTTTATTTTTCAGTGCATTTGTTTTATAATATATGGCTATTACTATCATGGGATTAATATAACTATTATTATGTAGTAGTGTAATGTAGACAAACACAACTAAAAGAGGTTTGAATTTTTCTTTGTTTAATTTGCAAACTGAATATGTGTTGGAGCTTTTAATTTTGAACTCTCAAAGTACGCCAGATTGATGATTTTAACATTAAAATGCACACATTTTTCTTACGGGGGGATGCCCCCAAACCCCCCTAGAAGGCCTGAGGTCCTCCCACCACAGATTTACCAAACATCATGTGAGAAACACTGCTATTGCTATTCAATTCAGTTTATAGCTTGTTTTTTGGATTAATCCCTGTGGAGTAGTTTGTATCCAGACTCTCACGGAGACCTCAGATGCCCCAACACCTGCGATGAGACGACTCGACGCCTGTGAAGAGACGACTCAACGCCGGCGATATGTTATGCCCTAAACTAATACATGATTAACTAACTGTATTTTTCTATGTACATTTCTGAAATGCACTTTCTGTAAAGCTGCTTTGAAACAATATGTATTGTGAAAAGCGCTATAGAAATAAATTTGAATTGAATTGAAAATTGAATTGAATTGAGTATAGTTCGATTGTATTAATAAATGACAATTTTGTACTTATTTCATCTGTTACTCGTTCCTGCTCGCTCATTAGTTTGGGGGTGGGGGGCGGTCGGGGATCTGGATATTGGATAGGGGGTGCTGGCCCAAAAAAGGTTGAGAACCACTGCATTACATGCAGCCCCTGTGTCTAATTTAAATGTAACGTTCTTGTTGTTTATGTTCAGGCTTTCAGTCCATTTGTCTTTTTCATTCTGTGTTTCAGTGGTGACTGTGTGCACATTTTTCATTGTTTGTGTTGTTTGCACATCAATGGTTCCAACAAAGAAATCATCTTGCTCATCACTTTGTTCACCTTGTTCTACAGTCTGTATTTTCCTGGTGGAGACTTGCATTCTGCACATTTTCGCAAAGTGGTTTCCTTTGTTGCATGCTTTGCAAATTTGTCCATAAGCTGGGCATTTTTTGTATTCATGTTGGTAACCACATCTTAAACATTTCACGTTTGCTTTGTGGTGACTTTCCATTGCATGCTGTTTACTTCTCTGTTCACTTTGCACTGTTTTTTCTCCTTTTTTATTTGTTTTTTACACTGCTTATTTTGTTCAAGTCTATTTCTTCAGCTAGCATTTTCATTTGATTTGACGTTAGCTCGTTGGCCCGGCAGATGTCGATTGCTCTTTCCACGCAACAATCTTGCACGCACATTGTCTTCTCTTATCCCGCATACAATTCTATCTGTATCAGTCAGATCGCCAAATTCACTGTCTTTCGCCTTGTGTTTAAGATCTGTGATGTATGCATCAATTGTTTCTTCAGAAATTTGCGATCTCGTAAAAAACATATGGCGAATGTATGGCAGATTCTTTCTGGGCTCACAATATTCTTTAAATTTCCTTTTTAATGCATTTATTTTTATTCACCTCTTCCTCCGTGAACTGGAATGTGTTGTACACTTTAATGGCTTAAATGCTTTTCTTTTCTTCTTCTTTTATTTATTTATTTTAATTCGTCTTCTGACACCATGTTATGTATTTAAAGTGAAGAATAAGACGACACAGACACGAGGTGACTTTCACAGTAGGGTCTCCATAGTTTTACTGAACTGAACTCAACATGACGTCACCCAGGTACGGGTAGCATAGCTATACAAAATACATGACAAGTGTGATGTTCACTGATGAGGCAAAACATCATGACCAGTCAAACCAGCAAATATTGTTGATCATCTCCAAACAAGGCTACATATTAAGGTCTGGGGAGATTAGATGGTGAGCAAACAATCAGTGCGGTTACACTTTATTTAAAGTGACGTTACATTGTACTTACTCAAATAGCCTAAGTACTGAGTAATATTAATGAACTAAATGTAGGCTACTTAAAGTTATGGTTAGGGTTAGGATGCAATTCATGGAGTAGCCTAACTTTATCCTGTGAATGTGTGAACATCACATAAGATACACATTTTCAATTCATGCAGCTTCAGTGAGAAAGACTGATTTGCAAATAGGCCGGAATGTGTCAAAATGAAAATAGAAGGATTCATTTCAAGGTAAACAAGATTTTCAGTCCCCCACTATGGTTGCATTCGAACATAAAACATATTTTTTAACCACAGCTCCACAGAAAACCACATCGCATGTTCTTTACTAGCGCAGAGAAACAACACGATTCACCGAATGTGACACCAGCAACTGAGTCAAAGTGAAACTTCTGCGGTCTCATTTATTTAAAAAAGAAAAAGTAGATTGACCTGACGGATGGAAAATATGTGTGTATTATTGTTAGGCACATTGATGTGTGTGTGAGATGTTTGTGGGCAAAGAAGAGTGTCTTTATTTCCTCTCCTGTTAATAAGAACCTCACCATCAGACTTCCTTTTTCATGAAAACTGATACTGATAAAAGATACTGATGTTTCAGAAACAGTCAAATAAGAGTCACAGGTAACACATTATTCTGACTCATCATTCATCACTTACAGACACTTAAATATGTAACACATCACATGTGAAGTTATACTTACATCCATAATTATTTATACTCAGAGAGAGAGAGATAATAACACAATACTAAAATAATAACTGCCCTAATCATGTAAACTTCCTGTGGTATAGCATGTTTTCTGCCACTATACAGGGATTATTGATAAAGGCTATTGTTGTGTACTTTAAAATGAAATCCAGTGTGTGGTCAGTGAAGGGTGGTCTAGTCCTGATGGGGGAGGATCCACACACACACCACACACACACACTAGATTAATTTCACAGTTCAAGACAGACCGCTTTCTGAGATTTCCCTTATAATGTTACAGTGATCAGAGAAAATGGTTCATGTTGTTTTGCTCAGCTTGTGTTTGTGGCGCCTGGATGGTAAGTTACAAATGTATTTTTAATGCATTTTTGAAGCAGTGTTTTACTGATTTAGATCATGCCTTGGTTTATATTCAAAGTAATAACTTGGATTACGATCTTTTGGATTCCGGCATTACAGATCACATAATGGACAGATTCAGTTAGCTTATTAATAAGCTCACTAAATTAATAGAAAAATGACATGTGAGTATCACATTAAGGTATTAGAAAATAATATAGTTACAGTCTCAATGTAGAACATTATTAAAAAAAAAATGTTTTAGATGTTGTTGTTTTTTGTTTAGCAAAATCAGTGAGCAAACATTTTGGAACCATCAGAATCTCTGATTGCAAATGGCAAAGGATGTGAGTATATTTTTGTGTGTGTAAAATTGTTTACGTTGGTGTGTTCTCCAGGAGTGTTTGCTGGTACAGATGCAGTGAAGTCAGTGTCAGTGATGGAGGGAGATTCAGTCTCTCTAAACTCTGACACTGAAATTAAGGATGAAGATCTGATTCTGTGGAGGTTTGGAGATGAAAACACTGTAATAGCTGAAATAGATGTGCTGGAGGACAGCATGACTGTATATGAAGATGATCCTGATGGGAGATTCAGAGACAGACTGAAGCTGGACGATCAAACTGGATCTCTGACCATCACAAACACCACAACTGAACATACTGGAGTTTATAAACTAGAGAAGACCAGAAATTTGAGCAAGAGTTTCAATCTCACTGTCTATTGTGAGTTTAACATTGGTTTCCTTTATTTCTTAATCGCTTTGAAGTAGACCTATCCTAAATACATTATTTTTCAGTTTTAAAATTGTAAAATCTAAGATACACAATCTCTATATTCTGTATGATTAGTGAAGTTCACAGTGTAATTTCGGGAGGAGTGAACCCATCTAATCTCTCAATGAACTGCCGGAGCATAAGCAGCCGCTCACTCGCTCTGGCGTCCCTCCACCTCCTCAACTCCAATATAGGCTTCTTGCTACCATACTCATCATCCAAGCATTAGTAGTCCCACTGGGGGGTTTATCTAAGCTTGAGTTGAAGCTGCTTGCTCGAGCCCCTCCACGGCGGACAGCAAGCCAAATACACTTAACCTTATTAACTTAAAGATTTTATGGGCTTAGGAACCCCTGAATCAGATACACAAGATTACATTTTCTGGTACAGTCATTTAATAGTATGATTTATTCTGCTTTTTCTAATCTTTCTCAGCTCGTCTGCCTGTTCCTGTCATCATCAGAGACTGTTCTTCATCATCATCATCATCATCATGTTCAGTGGTGTGTTCATCAGTGTTGAGTGTGTGTGATGCGACTCTCTCCTGGTACGCAGGAATGAGTGTATTGTCCAGCATCAGTGTGTGTGATCTCAGCATCAGTCTCTCTCTACCTCTGGAGGTGGAATATCAGGATAAAAACACCTACAGCTGTGTGCTGAACAATCCCATCAGCAACCAGACCACACATCTGGACATCAACACACTCTGCCACACATGTGCAGGTACAGCAGCACTGATGATATATGTGTGTGTGTTTACTGAGCTGATTATAAAGACTGGAGCTGGTTTCAATGATTGGTGATAAAACAAATGTTCAGCATTTTATTGCTTAAAAATTTACATTGATTTCTAATTGTTGAACTATGTCCCTTCTTTTGTTTTTACTCAACACAAACATCTCTGTTAAATGGATTATTTATGTAGTTATGTATCTCGGTTATATGGATTATTGATACGTATGTTGTTGTGTCCCATCAGCTCAGATTTGAGTCTTTGTGACTGATAGACTAAAGAATTATATAGGATTTGTTTTTGCATTAGTCTGATGAGATCCTCCAGCATCCGTCCTGTCCTCGCTGTAATCGTATCTCACTTCTTCTGCACCTTTATCCTCAATCTTCCCAATCATGATCACCTTTCCAGTGATCTTTCCATTCAAACCGTGTGACCAAAGTACGACTAATGCAGTTTCCTCATTTGTGCTTTGAGTTTCTGGTTTGATTTCCGATTGACTTGTTGGTCCGTCTTGTCATTCACGGCACACACAGGAAACAACGTTTCTGGAAACGCAAATGTAGAATAATATGAGGGTCTGAGCTAGTCTCATCTTCATCAGTATGTCTTTGCTTTTGAATGTTTTGTCTAAAGACTTCATAGCCGTCTTGACCACCTCCATATTTCTCGAGTGTTAGTGGTCACATGGGCACCTAAAAGCTTTATACTCTAAACAATCTCAATCTCTTCTTCATTGAGCTCGAATTTATCAATGTTATCAGTTGATCTTGATCACATGATCTTGGTCTTCCTCGTGTTTAGTTCTAGTACGATAATTAGACTTTCTTCTCTTGAGTTTCCTCAACAGATGTTCCATATCTTACTTTTTTCAGTGTTGTGTCGTCGACATACCTCAGATTGTTACTCATATTTACATATAGATCATCACCACTCTTTGCTGCCTTTCAGCCTGAAATAAAAACACATACAATTTGATTTTTACTGTAACCCACAGTAGAATGTAATAAACGATAAACTTTTAAAATAATTTATATGTAAAGCAGCAAAATACACCTAAATGTAATGTTCTCTGATCACTAGCTGACACTAATAACTGTTTCTCTCTCCTTTTCCTCCTCCAGTCTCAGTGTCTCTGATAGTGTTTATCTCTGCTGGATCTCTGATGATTGTGTTTACAGTTGTCGTGATCTTCTGCATCTGCAGGAAATGTAGAAAAACTGATCAAAAAGGCAAGTGTTAAATTATAGACGCTATTGAATTTGTAAAAGTTATAAGTGTTATATCAAATGATAATATACTTTAATAGTGTAGTTCCTTTTAACCCTCATGTTGAGTTGATGTCATTTTGACCTGAAGACAAGAGGATTTTCTTTTTCCTGAAAATGTTAATGTTATCGCATTGGACCAAAACTTATTGACTTTGCTCGCACAAGATATAACATAAAACTTGTTACACTTATGGTGTTCCTGTTCAAAAATGGCTGGCCTCCAAAAATGTGTTTATAATTTTATCTTTATGCTATTTTATTACCAAATATGGGATTCAAATTTGTTTTATATTAACTAGCACAGGATTTGTCACTCTAAAACTGAGGCGCATAATCTCAGATCAATGAAGCCATAATTACATTATGTTGTAAAGAAACAGATCTAGTTAACAACATTGAGTGTTGTTGTTTTAATCCATCTATTTATTTTATTACATCTTATTATTATTATTATTAAAACAGTTGAGACTCATGAAGAAGAAATCATCTACGTCGAGCCAGCGTTCTACAAAAGAAGAGCACAGAAATCGGTAAGATCATTTATTACTAATTCATGTCTGTGTATCAGTTCAGCAGTGAGTGCGCTTGTGTGTGAGAGATCATCATACAGACACAAACACAAAACGTGTATAAAGATCAGCATTCAATGCAAGAAACATATGCCATAATCCTCACAACACTCATTCTACCATCAGATCAACATTAGTTAATATTTCCAGTGTTCAAAATGAGCCACTGTTGAAGTATTTCCTTTCAGATGATGACATCACAGTTCAAATCATGTTGTACGTCCTTTTTGTGATTCTTTTGGAAAACAGAGCAAATCAACACAATTCTTCACTGTAAAAAAATTACCGTAAAATACAACCGCAACAATTAGTCAGTAAGTTACTGTGAATACTTTTTACAGTAAGGGTACTGTACTTCCATTTACAGTATTTTATGTATACACTGTGAAATCAAAAACAATTACAGTAACAACAGGTAACTTTTCAACCTTCATAATATATTTCCAAGTCTGTTGTGATGGTACATCGACTTACAATAGGTTGAATGACACGTCTGCCATAGCCTGACGGGGTCTGTAGCGTTTTTAATCGTACTTTTAAACTTCAGGTTTCGGGTAGTAACCGGCGAACAAAGAGAACTACAAAATTCGACTGCTTTACGGCATATACGTCACTTCCACCACCACCCCCACTTCCTTAAAATCGGACTTGCGAGCCAAATGTTATAGTCATGGCCGAAGCAGCACAGAAAAACAAGAAAGCAAATGTTTTATCGGAGCAAAGCAAAAAGAGAAAAAGAGAAAGTGATCGCGTTAAAGGCAGAACGAGGATCAACATTGCAGAGCTGCCAACTCTCACGCATTGGCCGTGAGACACCCGCATTTGATTGGTTTCACACGCTCACACGCCACACACCCGGTTTCTCACGCTAAATTGTCAACCCGGTCGGTCAAATCCCTGAAAGATGAGTTTATCTATAGATCTACCTGTTGAGCCACTCGTGATCGACAAGTTATACCGCAAATTAGTTCAAATCTCCCGGAATCTAGAGCGAGCGCGCACGCGAGACAGAGACTGTGCTCCAACGCGTGCGGACGGCAGAGAGAGAAAGCGAGCGAGAGACCTTGCGTGTGCAGGGAGCATCGAACCCCCCATCGAAAAAAGAATGCCTCTCTCTAACCTCTCTAATTCGCTAGAGTAGTAGCGAATTATCAATCTGGTAGCTAGTAAACGATATTCTAGTTTTTGATGGTTAGCTATCGCTAGTATTCTCGTTCTGATTTGAACTTTGCAATCGATGAAATGCAAATAGCAAATGTTTGACCTAAAAAGTGTAGTCTACTCAACATGTACAAAGAAAGGAGGAAGATTATTAATAAAATCATTTTTTAGGATACCTAACATGTCTGTGATATTTGTTTATTTGTCTTGCCTCAAGCTATAATGCAAATCGATTTGTAAAATTTGCAGATTCATTTATGGTAGCTTGATATTATAATTTTGACGATATATGGTTATTATCAACCACTCAAACATTGCATTGAAGTATCATATAGATCCAGTAAAACGGTAACCAATAGGCTACTATAATGACGCTGGCTTGTAAACGTGAGCATCGCGATCATTTGTCGTTAGAAAAAAAATAAAACCCATGAAATTATATTCATATGACATGCTGAAATATATGCCACTGTACCTGGGATGAAGACATTTCACACGCGACGCAAGCAGAACACCTGCATGTGACCTCCTCCTACAGTGTTCAGGGCTATCCTGGTTGTCAACAATTGCACGTGCATGTAGGATGACAGAGTTTACAACAGTAGTAGAGGACAATACTGTTTCCCAACTGTAGGGGGAGCCCGAGAGCAAAAAACTACCTGTTGTTACTTTAAATACTGTGATTTTAGTTGTATTTACAGTAACCTACTGGCTAATTGTTACAAGTAAGTTACTGTGAATACGTTTTACAGTAAGGGTACTGTACTTACATTTACAGTATTTTGTGTATTCACTGTAAAATAAAAAAATTAAACACTGTGATTTTTAGTTGTATTTACAGTATTGATTGTTTTACAGTAGAAGAAAAAAATAAATACTGTGATTTCAATTGCATTTACATACAACAAAAACAGTTAAGCACTGTTTTTTATGTATTGTATGCAATACAGTACTATAAACAGTAGATAACAGTTAATCACTGTAAATTCAGTTTCTCACTGTACAATTTAAATACTGTATCACTGTGATTTAATATTAGCCATCATTAAAAGAATCACCCATTTTCTAAAACATTGCAATCAACTGCAGACAATAAGAAAATTGTTAACAGTTATTTATTTAAAAACATTTGGTGAACAGGAATGACAAAACAGGTACAACATAAAGGGATAATGGACATTGGACAACATGCCATTATACCATCCAAAGTTAACGCACATTCTATGTTTGTAATGTGGACACAACGCCCAGCGGAGTGTGTTAACTTTGGATAGTCTAATGGCGTGAAGTATATTATCCCGCTTATTCTACTGTTACTAAATTTAATTTACGACTGAAGAAATTTTTACAAAACTAGGCTATTTCATTACAAGTTTTGTAAAATTACAGAGCAAATGTTACTAGTTCATTCACTAGTTGAAGAGGGTACAAAGAAATATATGATAAAAAAAGAAAATTACAGTAGTTTACTTTACTATTTACAGTACTATAGTGGCTAAATTGCGATTTTTTTACAGTAATGCTTTGACTACTGTGATTTCTACTGTAATGCTTGGACTACTGTGATTTCTACTGTAATGCTTGGACTACTGTGATTTTTAAGGTCTTACTGTAAACTTTACAATATTCTACTGTAAAAATCTTATACAGTAATGTTACTGTGAAATCTACAGTAGATAACTGTTGATTTCACAGCCATTTTTGCCATTAGTACTGGAATACATTTTTATAGCATCTCATGTAAGCATTAAAAAAGGCATAAGGAAACAAACGAAAGGAAACAGTGCAAGTCTCTCACACACACACACAGACCTATGGATGTTTTGTGACACACTTGAGGCTGGTTTTATATTGTAACATGATTTCAAGGGCATACATGTATTTAGTATTATGCATTGTGTTTTTGCAGGATGATAAAGAGGAAGATCATGTGGTGTATGCGCCGATCGCCACGAGAAGATCAACCTTCAAGAACCAGAGCAGCGGTGTGAGCGCTCTCACAGGAACCGCTGCCGTTCCTCTCGGCTCTTTAAAATTGCTGGATTGAGTTCTGAGGTTTTTCAAG